AGGATAGATTCTTTAGGTGGTCAATCGTACCTAGATAAAAAAGATTGGTGACGACTTCCTTCAAGTTAATGTCTAGCGATGGATCCCCGGATCTAAACGTTATGACAGTGTATACTTGGATTATATATTATTTTAATACCATAAATACAAGTCTATTTCTTAGGAAACAATAAAATTTTCTTAAATTAAGGAAGATCCGAAATCAGACCCGTTTAGTGAAGTAAGTCTTTTTAGGTCTTACCTATTGTCCATTTCATCTCCAGCAAGCTGCTCTTTCACTCGAAACGAAGTTGCATCAACAATTTCGAATTATATAGAGTATTAAAATTTTATTTGTTCATAATGAAACATGCCTTGTTGAGTATAAATAAAATTTTTTATTAAAATAATAAAAATTTTTGGTAAAAACGCAATTTAATATGGGATGGGGTATTTCTTTCACAAAGGTTTTAATATAAAGGGTGTTTATGGGACTAAATTCTCGAGTTAATAAGGCATGGGCCTGTACAGATTCTACCCGCCCTATGGGGGCTATGATTGAGGGTTTTAGTAGGAGACTTTTTTTGTAACTTTTAAGTACACAAATGCTGGCTGCCAATATTTTTGACATGGTCTTAATTCATTTCATGGTTATCCAAAACACTCTTTAATTCATTTTACGAAAATTTTTATCACTTGGGTCAGTTCCATCTTTGTATATCACTTTTTAGTTGATGCTAGTGTCACACATGCGAGGAGAGCATTCATGGTGCATTTGCTGATTTTGCAGAAAATAATAATAATAATAATCACGTGACACAAGTAACAAGTTTGTAAGCGGGAATAGGAGTTGGTTTAGGATTTGAGATTTGTTCAACTTTATGTAATTTTGCGAATTTTATTAATCAGCTTATTAGCCCAAAATTTAGTTCTAATAACTTTGTTTTTACAACAATATAATTAGATGGAAAATTAGATCTCAGTCCCAACTGTCAAATTATACTCTTTAAATAATATCAAATATGTATGTTAGACTATACTAATCATTTTTTATTTGATAATCAATTTTTTAAATGTTACTCTTTTACTATCTGTTGATGTTTGAGCATAATAATTAATCAATAGAGATGTTTCTATTTGTATTTTTATGAGTTTGACAACTAAATTTAGTTTGGTATATATTTTTACATTTTTTTTTGTTTGTCTAAGATAATTTTAGAAAAGTGGCTTAGGGGTGCCGTAATTATGAGGGAAGTGCACTCTCCCCTCTATAAAAAATTCATGGAAAATTCCACTAAAACACTAGCCTATATATGGCTGTAATAAATCCACGGCATCCCTCCTTCTACACTCCTTTTCACACCGAAACTATGCGTTTCAATAAAATAACACTTTCTTCACTTACTAAATTGAAGTCATTCAGAGCAAAACCAAAACCTGCTATTCAAATTTCTATAGCCTTGCTTCTGTTCATGTATTTTCTCCTCTCACTTCATTTTCAATTCAGCTGTCGTGGCCTCAAGTGCATCCTTTATTTAACAGACAACAAAAAAATTTGAATAAGTTTATATTAAAACAAGCTAATTAAAAAGCTAGCAATCCAGTTGGATGGACGTTCAACAAGGCAAATAAATAAAAATAAGATCTGAATATTTATGATTTTTTGGTTGGTTAAATGAAAAGTAAGATTTGAAGCTTTATTGTTTGTTGGTTGTATAAATAATTTGAAATTAGCCAATAGTGTAATAAGTTATTAGAGAGTTGAATTTTTTTTTTTATTTTTTATTTTTCAGTCAGTCTCAAATATCAAAAAATAATTAGGAACTAAAATAATAAAAACTTAATTGTTGGATATTAGATCCACCATAAGCTTGAATCAAACTCTGATATCAAATATTGAAATAATGACTAGATTAAGTTAGTTGCAGACCTAATATCCAATATTTAGTATCAAAATTGAATTTAAGTTGACTGCAAATCTAATATCTTAGTATAAAAAAATGTATTTGTAGACAAAAAAAACCATTCAGCAATTGTATATATACCAAAAATATACGTAAGGCTAGATTTTGTACATACGTACACAGCAACCCACCAGCTAATTCACTTGAGAAGATTAAAAATCGACCTTTCACTTTTGACTATAATAACATAAAATTGGGTTTTGATGTTACAGAGGTGAAAGCAGCCCTTGTTTCCTGCGAACGATAAAACAAATGTTTTTTTCCACCAACCAAATCTCTCATTCAAACTGCATCATCCTTCACCACATGTTCTCTTTTCTTTCCCATTTTCCAAATTTACTTCTCATTCCACTAACTACACATATGTTCCTCTTGTTACATGAAAAGTTAAGAAAAATCCGTCTGTCAGGTGAGGTTTCTTTGAGGAAAGCAGGAGGCTGAGCTTTTGATATGCTAGTTATAAATATTTTAGGTTCTGTTATGTGGTTGAAATGATGGTGGTGAAGGTTTGATTTTTGGTGTTAGAAATTTAAATCAGTATACTCTCGATGTGCTTTTGATGGCTGTCTGAGGGTGCTCAAAGAATGGATTAAGTGGTGGAATTGAGAGTTAATCTTGAACTTAAGATCTATGCATGGGAGACTTTATGTGCTAGGGATGGAATCATGGAAATGAGGTAGTGAAGACCGTCAATGGTTGATTTTTTTGGTGGCTTGTGGCAGAAGTTTGAGGTGATTTGTTGTTTTTTATTTATTTGCCCACTTCAAGCTGAGGGCTTGGTCAAAACGAAGAATGAACTAAATTTTGGTTTATGTGGCAGTTGATATGATAATCAATATAGCTGTCATGTTATTTTTTATAATAATTTGGATAAAATTTATTAAAATGATTAGATTTAATTTACTTCACAAACTTATTGATACATGATAAAATTGAGAGATTTCTACTGTAATTAACTCATCATAATTATAATATTGCATCTAAGACAGAGAATTATAAATTATAGGAATATTTATAAAAGTTGTTAACGGGACCCACCATCGTCCCACATGGGGCGGTCTTGTTAAAAGAGCTGAAACAAAGGTCGGTCGTGGAAAAGGATTCAGTGGGGCTATAAATAGATTGATTTGACGGTCTGTAGATGGGGCCAACCATATTGGAGAAGAAAGAAAGACAGTTGATTTAATACATAATTAAGCTTTCTTTATTGACACTGAAAAAGAGGGTACATACATTGGAGAAGCCAAAAAGAAAGAGCCAAAAATGACTTGTACGGAACAGGTAAAATTTCCAAAAATATAAATAAACTAAAAACACACATTTGTCAACGCTCTTGTGTGAACTCAATTACAAGATTCTTCCATAGACAAGGTCCTTTATAGAAAATAATATATGTCATGATTGTTAAAAAAAACATCTGGCGGGCTTTTCTTTGGGTCACGCTTATTTCTAGCTATCAAACTTGCTAACATTAATTGCGTCTTGAATTTGAAGAAAAATGCTAAAATTTAATGCGCATCCTTTTCAAATTAATTACATTTAACTGGAAACTAATTCAACTGAATTAAAGTAAGAGTCACCAGTCGCTTCTGTCCCATCCTAAGTGGAGTAATTTATAATACCTTTTGGCTTGAAACAAGAATGCGTTTCAATTAAGGAACAAGTATTAGAATGGGAACCATTCTCCTTTTAACCTTTTTCTTTATCCTGTTTCATATAGGACATTTTGAAGGCAAATAGATTCAACCCAAAAAAATCCTGCTATTTGACAGAGATTCAGTCGAAAAGAACAAAAAAAGAGAAAGAATTGTGATTTCTGTTGAGCATTGATTGATTAGATTAAAAGCTGGAAGAGGAAAGGCCCTTTGATTTTTCAGTTTTGGAAGTATACCTTTTTCTTGTTGGTCAATCGAACGTTCAGTAGCGCGGGCAGGTCGAGCGATCGACTTCTGATAAAAATATTAAAATACGCTATGGAAAAAGAAGACTAGTAAAAGAAGAAGGAAAAGATTTCGTAAATTTTATATTATGTTAGAAAATGTTACTAAGAGTCATCGTTCGTCGGTGCAATAAGTTGGCAAGTCTTGTCCTTAGCCAGGAAGGATAAAACTTCATTGGTTTAAAATACTCCAAAAACAAAAAATTAACATTTGATTTGTACAGTTATTCAATTATAACAAAAAAATGATATAAACATTTATTATTCTATATAAAATTTTATTGAATTTTATATAATTATAGATTATGATCCATTAGTTATAATGTAATGATTATAAGTTATATATATTTTTAATAAAAAATGATATATTTTATTTTCTATAACGTTGATATTTAATACTAATAACAATTTTATTTAGAAGAAAAATGAGAGTAAAAAAACAGTGTATATGGATCAATAATTGTTGGTCTATTTGGAGAGACTCGTGTAACTTGAAAGAGTCAGAGGTTCAAATAAATTTGACCAAAAGGGCCAAGTGTAAAGCGAAAAAGAAAAGTGAAGAAACTTGTGAAAAGAGAAAACAGAATTTAGCAGCCATGGATGAACCTTTTGGAAAAGCCACGGGCTAGCTAGGAAAATTCACTACCAGGAAACATATAATTATAAACATAATTAAATGTAATATCTTCGAATTCCATGGAACCAAAGGGAAGGTGAAAGCCTTAGTTAAAAAACTGAGAGGTTGGAACACTCTGCTCTCTCTCTCTCTAGAGTCCTTATGGTACTCTCTGTCTTTCTCTTCTGAGACGGGCTTTCTTAACACTCTCTTTTTACTTTGTTTTGCCTGGATTTAGGTTTGTAGTGTAGGATTCGTTTTTGGGTCTGTCAATTTTTGCACATTCCTCGTGGATAGATGCGTATTTTGCTTTACTTGTTGTGTAGGATTAATTTTTCTTGATTAGTGTAGTTAATTTCAGGTTGTCGTTAATTACTCGTTACAACAATTTAATCTCTCTTATTATCAAGTTTTTCAACGACAGGACATCATAAATTCATAACGCAGTTAATGAATTTGTAAAAGAAAAAGAATCCTGAATTTTCTAACCTTTTAACACCATTGAACATGAAAAAAAAAAAAAAACAAAAAAACAAGCAAACATACAAACAATTACATTAAGTAATTCAAAGTGCAAGCTTTTTAAGTTCACAACTTCTTGCTACCCTATTGAAGGTCGAACTCCAAATTTTCAACCTTAAAATCAACTCCAATACCACTCACTAACTGGGGTAGGAACAACTTACTATTACTTGCAATAAACTTGTACCTAAATTAATTGACAGAATATTTAATCCAATTATTTCAGAACACAACGGGATATTAAATCGAAGATTTGTACATCTTTCCACATAATGTTATTAATGGGGCCCACCATCATCCAACTTACAGCGTTTCCCATTGTAACCGCCGCTATAACCACCATCGTTGCTGTCTTAATCGCCTTCTTCGTTTGTTCCATTAGCAGCGGTCTTCGTAGCTTCCTCACCAAGATTCTGACCCTTCTCAGGAGCATTATTAATCTCTCCTGCACACAACAATCATAAAATCCTCAGCAAATGTATACAGACATTTGGTCGGATTTTTTTGAACCGGTTCAATCGCCAGCATAGTTCAGTTTTCAAAGCATTTTTTTTCTTTAAGTTCGTTCTTTTTACCGTGATTGCTGGAAAATCCTCCATCATCGCCGCCACAACTGCCAATTTTGTTCACCAGAGCAACAATTTCATTGATCGTAGTTTTTTCTTCAAGACCCAGATAGATTCCAGGAAAACTAGTGTCTCCTGCATAAACAACAACCATAAAAGGAGTTTAGTAATGCGTTCCGTACAGAACAAGTAACCGGCTTTCAATCAAACCAGCCACGCCGGTTATGTTCTGAAAACAGTAATTTTTCCATAGCTTTTTTTTTTACCGTAGCCGTTGGCAAATCCTCCATTGTCGCCTCCGCAACTGGTCATCACAGTTTCAATAGCTTTCATCATTATTTTATCATCAAATTTCTGGGCATTCTCATTGTTCTCGTTCGCTCCAATGAAAGCCATGAAATCATCAACCAATTTTTTCTTTGCCGCTTCTTTTGCGAGCATATCCTGATTTTTTCTCATAAGCATGGAACACTCCCTCTCCTTCTCCTGAAGTGCAACTTGATCAGCCCTCATTGATTCTTTCATCAGCCTTATCTTCTGTCTCTCTCGTGCCAAAAAAATTTCCAGAGCCACAGCAATGAATTCTTGGGGATCCTGTTAGATATTCGCAGAAAAAGCCATTAACAGCCACATTAACAGTTAAGATTGTTGTTGTTGATAAATGAATAAACACAAATAACGAAACTGAAATCATAGGAATGAAATCTAACCATTTTGGAAAAAGATTCGGCAAAAAGATAAGGTGAGCTGAGAGGAGTTGCTAAAACTGTGGTGTGATTTGATACTGAAACAGAAAGAAACGGAAGGAGGTTTTAACTTTTAAGGACGGGTTTTGGCAGAGCCGCCAAGGCGAAAAGACCCAATTGCTATAGCATCACCCAAGGTGGGGACCCTGCTTTTGGAGTTTGGTTGCTGAGTCGGTCAGACGTGTCACTTATCTCATAGTTCAGGTACTTGAATCCTTCTTACAGCATCAAAATCAACCAAGACCAAAAGGTTTTCCACCAATCAAATTTTCTTGCGTCTTACAAGTTTTGAAGCCCATTGATTCGCACACATGTCAAACTATCTGTGCTTCAAGATGGCTCAGGCACAGAGTTCGCAGGTCGATCCGGATGCCCTTATCATCCCACATGGAATTGAGACCAAAAAAATGTAATTGAAATATTCTCATTTTTCTTGTGTACAAATCATAAAAAGGGGAAAGAAAAAAAAATTTATTTATGATGAACACTTCAAAATTAGACTTTCGTCTAAGAATTAAAATCAATTTATCTGTATATTATAATGTCAATATTAAATTTGATAATTATATTTTAATTTATTGAACTTTAATATTATATTTCTAATTTTGTTGATTTTTGGTTATTTCACTACTTAATTTTAAGGTGATACATGTATTTTTAAATAAATATATAATTAACACTTGTCTTACTCAAATTTTCTTTTCTAATTAATGTTTCATTTATCTTCCAAGTGGTTTAAGATATTTAAATTTTAATTATAGATTAATTTCAATACCTCTTCTATATCTAAAAATGAAGTAGTTAACATCTTAAAGTACTTAAAAAGTAATGGAAATTATCATTACCCGAAGTTAATAATAATTTCTCATAAATTAAAAAATTATAAACAAGGCTAGAAGATAAAATTGAAAGATATGAAAGGATAATAATTTCATAAGGATTTAATTTTTTTTATGTATGATTCTTAAGGTTTTAATTTTAATTATTTTTAAAAAATAAAAATTATATAACACATAGCATTTTATTGGTAAATTTTTACCATGCCATGCCAACATTTTGACCATGTAATGAACGAGACAATGTGCTTGAAAGGAATTAAAGTTTGAGCATATGTTTATGCGTTTTTATTTTCTAGGTACTACACCTTGCTTCTCTTTTTTTTTTTTCGGGTGTAATCAAATAAAATGACTTTCCATCTTAAAATGTTTTAAATAACACTATAATATATATATATATATATATATATTAAATTCCATTACGTGATCTTCAAAATGAGATATGAAACATTTTTTAAAATAAAAAATCATTGAAACCTACAAATTTTAATTCTTAATAGTATTGTTGGTATATAAAACAACACCTTATTCTTATTTACTTGTTAGGAAATAACTGGATTTGGAATCAAATGATCAATAATGTTTGCTTCTGTTTAAATTACTTTTATTTTTCACATTGGTTTGCTTAGTGGCCTAACCATGATTTTTTCAGTGGGATTAACAAAGTAATACCCATACTTCCTTCTTTCCAATTTCTTATATATATATATATTTTTTATTTTTAAAATTTCAAAAGCTATGTTCAAATTCCTTGCTTTTTATTTTAAAATTAGTTTGCTACCATGCGACTTTCAGATTATTTTGCTTTATTAGCTTGATTTTAATTATTTTCTAATCAATTATTTTTCAATCCCAATTGAAATCGTATCTTTCTTTTAGGAGGAGATTTAATTTATGATTTAGCAAGTTAAAAATTACTTATCATTAATCTAGTTATTCGTTATCTATTTAATAAGATAAACATAAATAATTTTTGTGTGAAAAATTTTGTTTTCATGATGACATGAAAGATAATTTTTAATTTTATGTTCTTTATTAAATAAATATATTTAAAAGATTATTAGTTATTCAAAATTAAAGACAAAATCATATATATATCTAATTATTTATGCTTGAAATTAATTTATAGTTAAAATATAATGGAAAAATCCTATATATAATGGTTCATTCAAAATATAATGTTATTTCAAAAATCACAAATTATTTTTTAATTTCAATTGTTTTTTTCTTGCCAAATAATCTCATAGACTTTAAGTATGATAATATTATTTATCATATGGAAAATAGATAATTTTATATCAATTAAATTTTAGAAAGTTATTTAAATAAATTTAATTCAATTAAACTTATTAAAACAAATTAAAAGAATACATATTTTTAAATTCATATTCATGTTTGATTAATGAATGTTTTTCAAAATTCAAGCAAAGAAAATAAAAAAGGCAAATGGACTTAATTGAATATAATTCTTCAACTTTATTAGGAAATGGATATGTTCGTCAATTGGATTATGGGTTAGATTATAATTTTTTGTATAATTTTTTAAGTATGGACTCAAAATATTTTTTATTAAAAATTTTATTTAATTTTAAATTGAAAATATATTTAATATTATAGATTTTTAACATTTTAATAATATATATGAATTGAAGAGGTAACTTGAGTCAAACTTGAAACATAATCTAAAATTTATAAATGTCCACAAGTCGATATCACCAAAGTCATGGACATTTCTTAATTTTTTAAATTCATATTGGATGTTTAAGAAAATATCAAGTGCTTAATAAATGAGATTTAAATTAAAAAATTAAAAAAAAGAAATCAAATTGGATTTCAATTTATCGTAACACTTTTATAAATAAAAAGAGTATTATGACTTTGAAGAAGAAAAAATATAGTAGATTAGAAATTTTTATACAAATCGTGATCAATTGATTATTTATATTATATATAAAATATGATTTTAAAATTCAATTAGTTTTTGTTATTTGTAACAATATATTTTCAAATAAATAATAAGGTTAAATCAATGTAATAAAGCATGTTGATAATGAAAATCTTTTTGCATATTGTAAGAAAGTTGAAATAAGGGAAAAAATATTATTTTGATTAAGTGATAAGTCAAAGGTAAAAATAAATGGCTTATGAATAGTACCTACAGAATAGAATAATAAATGTATTATGTGATTTTGTACTTTGTAATATATGAAAAAAGAAAGTAAAAAAAAATAATTAAGTGAAAAGTCAAAAATAAGGTTAAAAGATTTGTGGATAACACCTATAAAATATAAAAATATATATGTTTATGTAACTTTTCATTTTATAATATATAAAAAAAAAAGTCAAAGTTAAAGATAGAGGGCTCACCATAAATATTTAAAAAATAATAAATAAATGGTTCTATAACTTCCATTTTGTAGTATGGAAAGAAAAGGAGGTAACACAAAATGGAGAACAATGACAAAATTTAAGTACAAGTAGCAAAAGACACTGAAGCCGCCATGTTCAACAGAATTTATTAGTTAATAAATTTGATCCACAGAAATGAAAAAAGAAATACCTATCCAAACTTGAATTGAATTATCAATTATAGAAAGAGAGATGAGAAATGTGACCATTAAAGCCAAAGAAGATCGGACACAGTTGCAATAAAACAAAAAAAAAAAGAAAAGAAAGGAGAGAGCTAAACGCAATCCTTGAAAAGGCAAAACGTACTATAAATTGAGAAAATTTTAAATAAAGTTTTTTAGATGATATTTTTGAAGTTTTTTATAAAAAAATATTTAAATTAAACTAAAAATTTAAAATTAAATTTGATATATTAAAAATTTTTATCAAATAAATTAAATATATAAAATTTTAATAAAATTTTTATTATTAAATAAATATAAATCAAAATTAAATTCTAAATAATATTTTTAAATGTTTTTATATATTATTAATCTTAATATTAAATTTTATCACTTTATCAATTTAAATTTTTTATTAAATTTATTTTAAAAAATATATTTTTAAAAAATTTAACTAATTTTACCTAAATTTTATCCCTATAAATATTAATATATGGCTTGAAGCAGCTGTTGGTGGGGCCCAATTTCTCTTAGGACCACTTTCACGCGGAGAGACGGCGAGTTCCATCCAACGTGGGGCTACTTCGTAAAAGACAAAAATCATTGTCAGGGTCCCATCAAAAGAAAAAAAAAAAATTTCATATCGAAATTCTTTTTCAGGATTTTAAGGTACCAACAGTACAGAAACCTTCAGATGAGTAAATAGTATGCGCTGCACGGGAACAGAAATTGCTCAAATTCTTATTTTTATCGGAGATAATCCATTTCAATAAAGTACAGTTGATAATCAAACCCATTATCATTCTGTTAACTCTGTGATAAATTCACACACTTCTTCTTCTAAAAAAACTAGAAATGAAGATATTAAAATATTTCATTCTATAAATAATTTTCGTATTTCTAATGAAATAATATCATTTGCCAACAAGGTAAGATATTATACCTATGTTGAAGGTTATTTTTATTTTCAAAACTATAAACCCTATAGTTTGAATGTCTTAATTGACACAGGAGCAACAATCTCTAGTTGTCAATCTAATGCTTTACCGTCAACAAAATGGCAATCCATGAAGCATCCTATAATAATAGTAGGTATCGATGATAAAAAAACCATTGTTAACCTAAAGACAAAAAATATACCTATTGCCTTAAACGATATAAAGTTTATTATACCTAAAATATTATGTTTTTCCAATATGCATGGAGACATGTTATTAGGAAATAATTTTATACATAATATTTACCCTTTTCAGTTTTTTCTGATTATCTTTGTTTTTACTATTGATAAAAAATTCAATAGATGTTCTTTATTATCCAAGCACAATCATGTTTATGATAATGGTTTTCAACCAGAAATAACACATATTTCTGAACTTAAAGCTATTAATGAAAAACATTGGCTTTATAGAATTTTACAGGAAAACTTCAGTGAAGACCCATTGAAGCTTTGGAAGCGCAGTCCAAGATACTGTGAACTTACTCTTCAGTCTCCAAAAGAGATTATTCGAGTAAAACCAATGATCTATACCAAACAGGATATAGATGAATTTGAAGTTCAAATTTCAGAATTGCTCGACAAAGGTCTGATAGAACTACACTGTTAATTTCACTTGCATAAATATAGACATATTCATCGAGTAAAGCAAGAGGATAATAAACACATGAAACCTACAATAGAATTTATCTTATGAGTCCATAGAAACAATC